TTCGGGATCGCTGATCACGGATCCGAACTCAATTTTGCAAAATTCAAGGTGGTGGATCCAAGATGGCCGCACAAATTTTCAAAAAATAACCCATTCGCGCTAAATTTGGTATACGGGGGTTTTCGGGGTCGCTGATCACGAATCCGAGGTCAATTTTGCATACTTCAAGATAGCGAATCCAAGGTGGCCGACCAAATTTTAAAAAAATAACACATTCGCGTCAAATTTGGTATACGAGGGTTTTCGGGGTCGCTGATTACGAATTCAAGGTCAGAATTACGAAATTAATTTTGATCTCGGATTCGTGATCAGTGACCCCGAAAACTCCCGTATCCCAATTTGGCGTGAAACTGTTATTTTTTGAAAATTTGTTCGGCCATCTTGGATCCGCCATCTTGAATTTTGCAAAATTGACCTCGGATCCGTGATCAGCGACTCCGAAAACCCCCGTATACCAAATTTGGCGCGAATCTGTTACTTTTTTGAAACTTCGTGATAATTGACCTGTTTTTTTAGGTTAGAAAAAGAACCATCAATTCCGACTGCGGATTCATGTTCGGCGGGATATTAGCCAAATATATGAACATTTGAATATAGAAAAAAAAATTTTTTTGTATTTTTCCTAGCACTTCTGTAAATTTTTTCTATTTTTGACCTGTTTTTTGAGGTTAAGAAATTCCTGTGATGTGATAGCTCAATTCTGACACCGGATTCGTGATCAGGAGGCAAAAATACTACGGATAACATATGTCGCATGAAAAGTACTTACAATTTTTTTTTGTGTGGCTGTATAATCAATCTAATACAAATTTGGTAAAATTTTTATCTATTTAATGGAGTCGCCAGACCAAGTTTCATTATTTTATATCAAACATCTTCAGAAATATTTGCCTATATATTATAGATGTAATATTTTTCAATAACTTTAACACCATATACTTGTATCTCAAAAAGGATATAAATTCATAGGAACTTTTTCCTCAAAAACGAGGATTCCACCATTTCATTATAACCATACCCGGGCCGTCTTTTGTAGACATAAACCATTTCGTAGCAGCAAGATTTTTTAAAGGGAAATTTAATTGACATGACGAAATAAATGTTATAAAAATATTAACCATTTTAGAGAAAAGGAAATATTAATTTGAAGTTAAGTAAATATATTTCTACCAAGGAATATAGAAATTTTAATGTTCTTTAATTCAATATTACCAATTTGCTAATTTGCAACTACTACATTTGAACTACTCCATTCAATTTTTATTGGTATCTTAAATTTTGACATACCAAACAGAAATTCATAATTAATACTGATGGATCCTTTAAATATGAAAATATTAACATAAATTTAAAATTTAACAGTGAGATATAGAATTTATGTGTACTTTGTTTTTAAACCATTGTACAAACCCATTAAAATTCATGTTCGAATTCAAGACTTGATAAAATTAATCAGTAAAGTGAAATCTTATCAAAATTTTTTGTGCTAAGAGATGAAATTGCAAAAAATTCGTGATTGTAGAAAAAAGTGGTAAAAAAAAGACATTCCTTTTTTCTTTAGGATATTTAGCTGATATATGCAAACACTGCTTTGTAGAAACTTTTACAGGTTGATATTAAAAATGTTGTCTGTGCTTTAAAGATTTGTCCACGGGACTTGTGACCCAGAAGCTGACTTAGTGACATATCATCAAAGAAGAGAAGCTCATCCAGATTACGAATATGTGTGTTCGTATTGCAAAAATCTAACCCAGTCTGGACGGCAATTAACTTCAAAACGATCAAGTAAGAAAAAATATTCTATTACTCTCATTTATATATTTTTTTACCATTTTTAGTAATTTGTTTATTACATTATTAATTCTTTTTTGTAGGTACTGACGATCCATCGGAGCTGTCCGTGTCCCAAGAATCTCTCTACGATGACACTTCAGAATTCGACCTGCCTTCGCCGGACGAATTCGCCCGTAACATGGGCCTGGGCAAGGGCAAACCTTACAGTGCCAGTAAAATAGCCAAGAAGCGATTAGGGTTCTCCACGGGCATGCCCGGAAGACCCAAAGGAACGGGTAAAGCGTTGCCGGGTAAAGTGGGGTTCATGAAGCGCGCCCGTCTCACCGAGTTCGGCCGCAAACGGGGCCCCAAAGCTAAGATGAGGGGGGTTTTTGGAGTGCCCGGTGTCGGGTTACAGAGGCCGGTCTCCGACGGGAAGAACGACGAGGAGCCGGGCGTCGAGAATCGTCTAGTGTTGTGTTCGGCGAAGGACAAGTTCGTTTTGACGCAGGATATTTGCGTGATGTGCGGCGCTCTGGGGACCGACCAGGAGGGGTGTTTGATTGCTTGCGTTCAGTGCGGGCAGTGTTATCATCCGTACTGCGTCAACGTTAAGGTCACCAAGGTCATCTTGCAGAAGGGGTGGAGGTAACGATCTTTTTTATTTATTATTTTTTCCAAAACTTTTATATTCCATTAAATTTTTTGTTTTGTATTTACGTTATTGTGGTNCGGCGAAGGACAAGTTCGTTTTGACGCAGGATATTTGCGTGATGTGCGGCGCTCTGGGGACCGACCAGGAGGGGTGTTTGATCGCTTGCGTTCAGTGCGGGCAGTGTTATCATCCGTACTGCGTCAACGTTAAGGTCACCAAGGTCATCTTGCAGAAGGGGTGGAGGTAAGGATCTTTTTTATTTATTATTTTTTCCAAAACGTTTATATTCCATTACATTTTTTGTTTTGTATTTAAGTTATTGTGTTTTTACTTTATTTTATTTTAATTATCTACAGGGTGTTACTTTGAATGGGAGTCATATTTAGTAGAAGGACTACCATTGATCTTTAGAAAGACATAAGATTGTTTTATCTTATTCCGTGGTGAAAACTCAATTTTTTAATTTTTTTTTCGTGCTTTCCACATCCCGCCGCTGAACGAGCACAATTAAACTACATATTATTATCTGTCATTTTCCGCAAGATTGTTTTTCCAGCTTCAAATTTGACGGTTATAAATTTTTGAAAAAAAGGTCTATTTTAGTGGTTTTTCCGGATTTTCTCTGTAAATAATGAACCGATCGGGTCGCACAAAAAAACGTTTTAAAGGTTTTTTTTATTCTCTACAAAAGTCCTATTGAGAATAAGACGATTACATAATTATTTTTCGAGATATTATAAAAAAACCAAAAAAAATGCCATTATTTTGCAGTTTTTATTGTTCAAAAAAAAATTGTTCACGACTTTGCTGGGGAAATCACTTGGGTTTTCATTTACTAAGTATTTTTCAAAAGGAAATACATGAAATTTGCTGTAATATTTAAGTGTAAAAACAGCCACTTTTTTCGCCCTATTGTTGGCCTATAGTCACAATGTTTTTAAATCTTATGTTTTTTTCTATCACTCTAAAATTTCACAATAGAGACACACAAACACACCATACGGTTACTAAATATTGAAATAAATAAGTTCACACACTTGTATTGCTCAAACCTCTACTAAATAGCACTTTTAATTTTATTATAAAATTAACGAAATACAACACTACACTATACAAATTTTATTTCAATTCGGGTAAAAACTAGTACTTTTTGCAGAAATTCGTTAAATTGTGCTAAACTAAAGACCCACTATATTTTAAACATCTCGTAAAACGATAAACTGAAAATTAAAATAAATGTCCCTGTTGTCATATCTCATCAGATGAATTATTATGTAGCTCACCTAAATTAGGTTAATGTCAGAAGTCATTGACACTGAGATTCATAAACTAAACGCAGTGCTTTAAGAAAATACTAACAAATTTAGTAATTTTTTATTAAAAAGAATCAGTTTAGTAAGTATTTCTATTCATTTTTTTTTTATAAAATAGCAAAAAAACAATTAATTTAAAAC